AAGTGTCTTTCAGCCATTTTGGATTCCTCTGTTGAGAATTCTCTATTTAGTTCTTAACCCTACTTTTTAATTAAACTCCTTCAGCAAAATGGCAGGATACAAAATTAACTCAAAAAAAAAAATCAGTAGCCCTACTATATATAGACGATAAATGGGATGAGAAAGAAATCAGTGAAACATTACCCTTTACAATAGCCACAAACAACATAAAATATCTTGGGGTAACACTAACCAAAAAAGTGAAAGACCTGTATAAGAAGAATTTTGAGTCTCCAAAAACCATTTTTAAGAAGATACCAGAAAATGGAAAGATCTCCCATGCTCTTGGTTAGGTAGGATCAACATAGTAAAAGTGTCAATCTTGCCAAAAGCCATCTACAGATTCAATGCAATCCCCATCAAAATACAGGCACAATTCTTCATAGATCTTGAAAGAAAAATATTCAACTTTATATGGAAAAACAAAAATCCCAGAATAGCCAAAACAACCCTGTACAATAAAGGAACTTCTGGAGGCATCACCAACCCTGACTTCAAGCTCTATTACAGATCTATAGTCCTGAAAACATCTTGGTATTGGCACAAAAATAGACAGTAGACCAACGGAATAATGTTGAAAACCCTGATATTAACCCACACACCTACAAACACCTGACTTTTGACAAAGAAGCTAAAACTATACAAAGGCAAAAAGAAAGCATTTTCAACAAATGTTGCTGGCATAATTGGATGCAGACATGTAGAAGACTGCAGTTAGATCCATATCTATAGCCATGCACAAAACTTAAATCCAAATGGATCAAAGACTTCAACATAAATCCAGCCACACTGAACCTCTTAGAAGAGAACGTATGTTTGAATGAATTGGTACAGGACATCATTTTGTGAACATTATCTCTACTAGCATAGACAATGAGATAGATAATTAATAAATGGGACCTCCTGGAAATGAAAAGCTTCTGTAAGGCAAATGACACAGTCAACCAGATAAAACAGCAGCCCACAGAATTTGAAAAGATCTTCACTAATCCCACACCTGGCAGAGGGCTGATTTCTAAAATACACAAAGAACTCAAGAAGCTAGCCACCAAAACACCAAACAATTCAATTAGAAGTATGCATCTTATGAAAAATTCGGACAGGTAACAAGTGTCAGAAGCCAAAAGACACTAACCCAAATTCATGAGGCACCAAAACCAGATACAAAGAGACACTCCTCTTTGCCAACAGAGGTTTGCTGGTGCTTCTACTGTGTCCCTAAGGTTTTCGTAGCATCAATAATATGTTCTGATTGTACCAATGGGAAGACTATTTTATAGAGCTTACTTCCTCAGATATTTTTAGTATAATTGGAAAAAATTGCATATGATTTTGTTCAGGCAAGTATCAAGGATCTAACAATGTACACATGTAACCTACCTTTCAAGTTCCTTCACCAATTGACAGACAATAAGGAAAAATGAAGAGTGCTTAATTCTTTGTCAAACAGTCAATTTTGACTTAGTAATTCCCACTCTTTCCTCCAAAAATGAAAATGTATAAGCTAGAGTCTCTGTGGGGACAGAAGGTGACTATGGTTCTGGCCTTATATTTTTATTTTTTAGTAATAGGGCAACTCCTTATTGACTTATGCAATCAACCTCTTGCAACTAGACTAGCTTCATTATGTGTAAAGTGCCCAATGAGACCTCAGTGCAACCTTTCTGGATTAAAACAAATTCTAAACCTTTCTTGTTTCAACTTCTTGGTAGCCAATCTATGAAACAGCAAGATAACTGACTCTCTTGTGGGCCCAGAAAGATGCAGGGCAAACACATATAAGGAATTATTTAGTTATTCTTAACTAAATGAAACTAATTCTTAACTGCCTGAAACAAATGGTTGATTTTCTGATCTACCAAAGAACTACAGTAAAGAAAGGAAATTCAACACCAAACATAACAAAATGCAGCCTGCAAATAAAGATCTGTAGGAAGTGAGGCATCAACCCTGATGCCTCAAACTGCAGTGGTCTCTGTGTCTTATGGAGATTCCTCTCGGGAGGTTTTCACAGTACTCCTGCTCCTGGTGGCATTTATTTATCTAAGACTACTTCATTATAGCCTTTCTGCAGTTTGAGGAAACAATATTATTATAGATGGTAAAGAACTTACAACGAATCAGATCTATTTTCTGTCATAGTGTTGTGTTTGGAAAACCTTTAATGTTGCTGATATGAGTATAAAGAGGATAAGGCTAACCAGAACCATAAGGTCTCCCATCTCTGTCTCTGTCTCTCTTTCTTTCTTGTTGCTCAATAATTTGAAAGAACAAAGCAATGTCTTGAATCATTGGATAACTGCCTAATCCACACACTTACTTAACATGAGAAATTCTTTCAGCCTAATATTGCCAGTAAATTTTATTACACTGCTTTTGTTTAAAAGACTGATCACCACAGGCAGTTTTTCTTATCCAAGAAATTTTCTGCTGTTTATTGAAATACTTAGGAGCATACACCATTGTATGGGCTTTAAACTAAATAAAGTAATTTGTGCATAGGTAGCAAAGGCTACTAAATCTTTCTTTGGTTGCCTGTCTTGTTCCTAAGTTCAGAATGGGGAAACACCTCCTGGGAATGAGAAGGAATCAAATGATATTGTTCTGTTTTCTCCATCCTCTATGTACAATTATTTTTTCTATGCTGTCAGTATCATGTCTTGTTTGTTATTTATGGATCAGAAATTACTATTTTAAAGATGAACAAATCTTTAATAGCTTAAAAGTTAAAATATAGCACACAGGAAAAGACAGGACTAAAACTCCTAGAAAGATTTACTCCATACCTATATAAAGATTATCTTTACAGCATCCATAACACTCTCAGATGGGATACATTACTTTCTTGAAGCCTTGCAAACAATTCTTACATGGAGAAAATGAATATGAGGCATTCCAACAAAAGCAAATATAAGGCATGCCTTTAGTTTTGGGATAAAAGTTTCTATTTACCACTAACACCAAATATGCCCTTTCTTTCATGCCAATAATAGCAAAGTCTAAAGGCCTAAAAACGTCAAAATAAATGCACGCATGTCTATGTGATGATATTTTATGAATTTTTCAAAGTAGCCCAAAGATTCTAAAGATGAGTAAACCGAGGAGGTCATGACTTTGAGATCTCTCTGCATGTCAAGATCCCAATGCTGCATTGATGATCAGCAAATACAGTCTTCATACTCAAGAGGTAGTGTGCTTTCTGACAACTGAATTGATAGTGCTGAATTTACAATGTTTCACAGGACACAGGAAGAGACAGATCTGTTTTGGTTGATGTTCTCGGTAATTAGTACTTTGTTTCAGCATTGGTTTATCCTCTGTAACACATGTTCCACTCATCAGTGTTAAAGCAACCTTAGGTGTCAAAATTAGGGAGAAGGCTGTCCTGGAACTAGCTCTTGTAGACTAGGCTGGTCTCGAACTCACAGAGATCCGCCTGCCTCTGCCACAGAGAAACCCTGTCTCGAAAAACCACAAAATGAAAAAAAAAATAAGTAAAAATAATAAAAAATAAAAAATAAAAAAAGTTAGGGAGAAGGCTTGGAGAGAGGAGTGCTTTTAAAGATTTATTTTCATTTTAGTTCATGAGTTTTTTGTTTGTTTCTTTCTTTCTGTTTTTTGACCTGGGTGTATGAAAGTGTGCCACATACGTTCCTGGTGCCCGTAGCGTCCAGAAGAGGGCATCATATCTACTACAATTATAGCTATAGATGGCTGTGAGCTGCCATGAGGGTTCTGGGATACAACCTGGGTCCTTTGCAAGAACAGCAAGTACTCTAAACAACCAAACCATCTTCCCAGCTCCACAAGGAGTGCTTTTAAATTGATTGCCCGTGTAAGAATGCCGCCAGGAAAATCAATCTGACTTTTGTTTTAAACAACTGAAAAGGATGTGTGAGAAGTAAAAACTTGTGAAAAAGCAGTTTTACTCTTCCATTTGTGTCATCCACAAGGTACATTTTTGAGTCACTAAGGTACATTTCTACATATTACTCAATTCTTAAAACAACTTCAGAATTTAAAGCTGTTCATTGATTTATAACTGGGGAATATCATAAGTATGCTATTCCGGCAATGTAAATGAACACATTTGTGTCTTTCCACAATGTTAGAATTTACAGAATAACAGTGTAGTTACAAGGCACACTCATTTTCTAGGCAGCAATCTGTCAGGTGTCTTGCTTTGCTTGATGGTTGGCTAAGACAAATGCAAGTTCTTTGCTACAAATCTTAACTTTGATAATAAATTACACACCAAGTAGTAAATATACCTAAATATGTAGGTTACAGAATGGTTACAAAAGATTAGGAAAGCTATAGCAGGGTTCAAGGAATTTCAATGACTCTAATTGCCAGGCAGAAGCTGGGATCCTGACAGAGATGCCAAAAAATCCAGAATAGCAGTAGTTATATACCTAACCTTGCTGAAGTTCTGTGAAAGTGACAGATGTAAATTGAGGGTGACATGTTAGAAACCTGACCCAGGGTTGAGTCTAGCTGTGGAAGTTAAGTACAGGTCCATGGAAGTTATTAAGGTAAAGAACAATACCTGGTCTCAGTAAAGAAACAGGCAGACAGACAGAGAACAATTTAAGTAGGCTGTTGAGACTGAACCCAGCTAAGGCCTCTGGACACTTGGAAGTTCTTTGTCTGTTGGTTCTGTTCCCCTTATATGCGTTGGACAGCAGAAGAAAGGTGTGTGGAGTAGATGTCACTGTGGTGTCCTTATGGAGTGCTGGTGAGGGCATTATACTTTTCTTTTCATTGGTCTATTGTGTCTGATAAGTTTTATGTCTAGTTTTTATGATATGAATTTAATATACCAATATGATTCTATAGCCCCAATTTACTTTGATAAATTTATAAGGTTATAAGTTTTCTAATCTTATAAGTTAGTCTATACCTCTGGGTGGTGCTAGATAGATGTCTACAGTACTCACCAAGGTGCAGAATCATCTTACCTATGCATTTGTGCTCAAAATATAGTCAAATGTTCTTTACAAAATGGAGACTCTCAGGGTAAGGCAAGGCTTGAAATACTGCTGTTTTATGGTATGGGGTGACTTAGGTCGGCATACAGCCTGATGTCTGCAGAGAAATTGAGACCCAGAGAACAAATATGAGTTGCCAATACCATACAACAGTCAAGTCACTGCTGGACTCTATCAAACAATAGTTCAGCCTCTCCTGGACTCCTTTATGTACTACTTTCCATCCAACAGACTATGGCTATGATGCAAGATTTTCCCTTCATGAGCTTTCAGTATGGCCCTCCTTTTGTGGTGTAATGTATGGGATAAAAATGCATGCATATATATGAAATACTTTCTGTGAAAGAAAAATGAAGGTACTAACTACCCTGCTCAACAGGGACTTCTAGACCTTTAAAATGAGCAAGCATTTCCTACCTAGAGAAGTAGAAATCTGCAACTTCCCTGAATCCACAAATGTGAAAGACGCTGACAAGTGAAGGAAGAATGAGCTTTTGGGTGAAGGCATCTGGAGGGGTAGAAGAAAGAAAATTTGTGTAGTTCTCCTTAGCATGGGAGAAGCAGTAGCTCTAAGCCCCTCCCCAGGGTTGAACTCAGAAAAATAAGTGGGGACTGGAGAGTGGGGCTCTGCTATGTCAGGATCAAGGTTGGCATCCTGAGTCACAAAACCTCAGGACACACAAAGATAAACTTAAATTTTGTACAGGACGCCAAGCTTAGAATCTACACTTTAGCTTATGAGTTCACTAGAAACTAATTGGTTGAAGAAAGGGAGGAATGAAGATTGAAGGGGTCGGTACCAGGTTGGAGAAACCCACAGAAACAGCTGGCCTGAACAAGGGGGAGCACATCGACCCCAGATGCTGTCTGGGAGGCCAGTACAGGACTGATCCAGACCCCTGAACATGGATGTCAATGAGGAGGCCTCTGCACTCCAGGGGGCCCCTGGTAGTGGATTAGTATTTTTCCCTGGTGTAAGAAGGGACTTTGAGAGCCCATCCCACGTGAAGGCATGCACTCTTGCCCTGAACACATGGCTATTTTTAATAAAGCCAGAATTTGGAGACAGCAACAAAAACAGAGGAGCTTCTGCTATATCCAAACAGTTTTATATATATATGAATATATAGATATATATGTATACATATATATCTATATATTCATATATATATAAAACTGTTTGGATATAGCAGAAGCTCCTCTGTTTTTGTTGCTGTCTCCAAATTCTGGCTTTATTAAAAATAAAATAAAATAAAAACCCCATTAAATTCAGTCCAAGTTTTTTAACTAAAAGATGAGTTTGTTGGTCTTAAAGAGTTACATGCTAATGAGATAATTATTTGAAAATTTTATTTACTTTACTTATTTTATTGGACATCAGAAAAAATCCACCCCCAGCTGATCAGAAACCAGAGCAACAATGTTAAGTAAATTTAGTTGAAATACCTAATTTTGAAAGTTAGAGTTTGGGGAACTCTCTTTGTAGCCATGCTACATGACTAGCTGAACTTCATGTTAGGCAAGACTCAGCAATGTCCACTCATCTGGCAGCAGAATGAAAGCTAGGGCCCCACTACTACATTGCCATGGTCTCAACTGCATTTCCTCCTACATGATTCATGTTTTCTTTGCTCCTTGTTTTATGAAAACCAAGAAAGAGTTCCAGGGTTGGAGGAGAGGGATTCAAGTGATGCTTTTTGTTCTGCAGATTAACTCTGCTGCCTTGCCCCTGTTGGGTCAGTTGTCCGGGTCCTCTATATTTTCATGGCCCCCATGGCTGTGCATTTCTTTCCCTCTGCTTATATCAAATTATCATCATGTTGCCTGGATCTCATCCACAGCATGATTATTGAAACGTTCATTTTTAAAAAGCAGTCAAAATTCACAGTGATGGTGAAACAATACATTGTACAAAATGTGCACGGTCTAATTCTTTTATAAAATAATAAGCATCCATGAAGTGGTGGAGATGAGGGGGGAGTTGTTTTAAGTGAAATAGAAACCAAACTACATGTGAATAGAACATTAAAGGGATTAATAAATTCCAAATTCCCAATGAGAGAAAAAGCACAGGCCTCATTTTACTTAAGTAGAGAGATCTCAAATCCCATATTGGAGGTGTGCAAAATGATAGGTTATTAAATCTCCAAGCTGGGTCTATCCTTGGTTTCTCTGGGGACTGAGACTAAAAATTGCTATGCAGAAAATGTGTGTCTATTATGACGTTCAATAATCAACAGGGAAGCAGCCCAGTAGCTATTTCTTTCTCTGAAATATATTCAGAAAAAGCAAGGTCCCAGAGCTTTATTCAGCACACAGATTAAAATTTTAATACAATTCCCTATGTGAGAAGCCTTTAGATTCTGTCATTCCACCCTTCTCTTTTTTTCTGGTTTCAGTTGAACAGGATGTGTGCCTCTTACTAGTGAGGCAAGATAACTCGGGGATTGAAAAACCACACAGAAACAACAGCAGTCCTATTGTTTAAGCATGTGTCAGAGACAGCTCACTGCTTAGCTGACACTCTGTGTATTTTGTGAAAGTGAATAGATGTTAGATCACATGTCAAGAAGATATGTATTTACAGTACTGAATAGTAAATAGCCTTTCATGACTCTTCAAAGTCTGGCTTAGAGCTTTCCAGTTCTTTTCACGTTGTAAATTGTACCTGTTTTCTCGCCACCTCCACTGTCTGGAAGATTTCAGGTCTGTCCCCACTGGAAATGCTGGATCATAATGCTATAATAGCCATTGCTGTCCCTGGATCCTTCCAAGGATGCCACCCACACAAATTCTTCTAACTCATGACTATTTTTCATAATTTCCTGCTTCTCCAAAGGGCAGGCCAGATGGCTTGGCTCCAGAGCACACACTGCTGACAGTAGCTCTAGGTTTGAAGCTGTCAGCTGTTTGAAGGTCTTGGTCTCTAGGTTCAATATATTTTGAATTTAATGTAAATATTAATTTGGTGTTGAATAATGGAAGAGTTACAATCCTCTGCTATATTTTAAAAGGGGTATTTTTGAAGAATATGTTACTGAAAGCATAAACATTGCTATTTAAACATGAACTCTGTTAATCTTTTAGGGGTAGGTAAGGGCTGGAGACAGAACCTAGGGCCTAGTGCATGCTAGTCAAGTGTTCCAATTCTGACCTACACTCTCAGCCTTGTTTGTAAAACTGTGTCAGGAATGCTTTCAGTCCCTGTCAGTATCATGATAGTGAAACTTAGAAAGCTTTAATTTTAAAGACATTTGCTTTTATCAATTTCAAATATAATTGGAAATCTTGTATTTTGATAATCTGATGGCTTTATCTCTGGCTTTTTAGTCATTTCCAAATTTAATTTCTGTGCAACTCATGACTTCTGTATGCATACAGAATTAGGCACATGCAGATAAATGAGGTAAGTATCTGCTTTGATGGTTTATTTGAGGAGATGTTTATGAAAATTATTAACAGAATTCCAATGGAATGGATTCTATTTAAAGGATCAGTTAAAAGGTAGCACAATTGAATAGAGGCCAGAAGATAATTGATTCTGCCAGTGGGGTTCAAGTCAGGCTTGCAGTGGAGGGGAGATACCTGTCCTGGGGCTCTAGGGTTCAGAAAGATAGAACAGGTAAGAGCAAAATGATAAACACAGGGTCTGGTGAGATAGATCAGTAGAAAGACCACTTATTACTTTTGCAGAGGACCTAGATTCAGTTCTTATCATTCACTTGGTAGCTCACAACCACCTGTAACTCCAGTTCTAGGAGATCTCACATTCTTCTCTGGCTTTTTGGGTTCCTGGCAAGTAATGTGGGCACATTCATGCATAGTCTTTTAACTTGGTGACATGCTCTGTGTGAGACATTTTGGGAAGTTATAGGTCTCCACTGCTGTAAACCTCCCCTAGCCGACTTGCTTCCTTAGTGAGATGGCTTCAGATTGACTCAAAGGTTTATGTGTGTGTGTGTGTGTGTGTGTGTGTGTGTGTGTGTGTGTTTGCTTTATCTTCAGAAAACTTCTATGTACTATGGTTCTCTGTCTTTAGTGAAGAGTGGATGCAGGCAATGTCTTGTGTCCAGACTATTCCTGTGTAAAGCATAACTTGATTTCTTGGCTCAAACTAGAAAATTTAAGGGAAATGTAATTTCTCTTATGCTTGTTTGGACAATGATCCGATTCAGTCTAATGAACTGTCTACCAAGGGTTTGTATCCCTAGTCTGTTTGTATGATCTACTTTAAACCTATGTTTTTCTTCCCTGGAGTCATTTCTATCATTTCATGGGGGGATGAAGGCAAGATGAAACTACTTCATAACTTGCAGAGAAAGGAAGCTATGCCGTTTCTTAAGAAAGAATTTAGGATGGAAGTGAAGGGACCACTTTAACTTATTCTGAGACATCTGAAGACATAGAGGCATCTGGTAGTTTCTTGATGTCTTCAATTAGAATGCAGAGACATCCTTTCTTCTCCTCACTTTTTTTGGGGGGGTTCTAACAAAAATCATGAGAAATTGAGTGAAAAGTCCAATTTTATATTCGGTGACAATTCCTTCTTTTGAATATTTTACTGTAATGTGTTTTTTCAATATCTTTTAAAAGTCTGCTTTGACAACTCTTGTCTGCTTTATTGGGATAATAGAAACTAATTAAAGGCAGGGTTTATATAATATGGAGTGACATTCTGCTGGGATCCAACAGTGACAAATGCAATTAGTCAAGGTGAAGTTCAAATGAAAATGCCATCTAGGGATTCTAGACTGAGCTACACCCACAACCACCTTCTTCCTTTAGAGAGTTGTGCCCAGAGCTTTTCCACTGAAGAGCTGAATGTCATCAGAAGGGGATCTCATTTGGAAAATATTCCTTTCTTCCAGGAAAATCATTTCCATGCTGTATTTGTAAGCCTGTCCCTATAAGAAAAGCTGGACCTATCGGCTCTAGTCCTAGGATTTAGATGGAATATAAATATCAAAGGTCTATTTATTACAATATATCATAAGTCAATTACCACTACCAATGATTTTTAACAGCCTGATGCTAGCTAAGGAATCAGACAATTGCTTAACAACCGACTAATCATTTTTCTAGGGGTTAGAGTATTGATTTGTAACAGCTATGTTGTCTTCACCAATATGTCATTTTAATTTGAAAGTTATATTTTATTGTAATTGCTGATATATGATCAGGCCACTATTAACAATTTCTCTTAATAGCTGGTTGTGAGTTTCTGTGTCCACATATAGTTTTGTGATGGAAATACAAGCAGATAATGAAGAGGATGAAGAAGGAAGAAAATTCAGTTGAATTTAACAATTTAAGAAGAATATTGAAGATTTATTTACTTATTTTTGTGTGTATATGTAAGGGTCTGAATGTATATATGAATACTGGGTCTCTATGTGGTGTTTATAGAGGCCAGAAGAGGGTGCTGGATCCCTCAGAACTGTAGTTACAGGTGGTTGTGAACCATCATGTGGGTTCTAGAAACTGAACGCGGGTCATCTGCATGGGCCA